AGACAGGAGAGGTCTGCTGCACCATGTGGGCAGCTCCCCGGCCAGGGATTGAACTCATGCTGCAGTGGCTGCGGATAGCTTCATAGTGCTGCATCTTAACCCCATGTGCCACCAGGGAGGCCCCCAATGACATAAACTTGAATGTAATTGCATTAATTCTATAACAAATGATATCATTATTTTGAGAGAGATTAGTTTATGACCCTTAATTATATAAATATACCCATATATATATATATATATATATATATATATATACATTCCTTTTATAAAAATGAAAAGACCTCATTATAGATTAAGCTGAATTCCCTTTGAGAGTAACTACCAGTTGCAGTATCATCTTCAGTTTGGTCTATTTGCAGACACTAGAGTTTCTTCTTTCTTTTGGGGAGCAAGAGAGGGAAGGGGAGAGCAAGAGAGAGATTAAAAGAGAAATTGAGAGAAACATGCATAGTATTGTTTTGTGTCTGTGTGTGTTTGCGTAGTTGTATCATATGCTGTGTATGTTGGTGATACTTGCTTGAAGATAAGATTTTTCTACTATACAAAGAATGCTCTTCTTAGCCTCAAGCTTTTGGAAAAGTAAGATAGCACAGATATCTTTAGATTGATAATACATGAAAACATAGTCCACATTTCTGCATGAAGGGGTTGTGTGTTGTGACTGGGAGCTGAAAAACTAGTCAAAGGGCATCTGTCAACTGCTGTTAACAAGAACTTATGATCAATGCTGAAACTCCCAAGGTGAAGTGGGAATGTTTCTCCTTCCTCGGTTCTTGAAATATACCTCAATTCACTGCCATTTTGGCTTGGAGTTTGTTCTTGATAATAATTTTACCTCATGCCACGGAGCCTAGATTTAAAAAATTGGAGAAGAGGAAGTGAAAACTATGAGTTGCCTATAATGCTTCCATGCCTTAGGGTCAGGACTGTGATCTTTAATGTAATCTCTTGATGCAGAAAATATATATATTGAATGTCTAATATATGCCAGGAACTAATTTAGGCACTCTCGAGAAATAGAAATGATCAGTTAAGGGTCTTGCTTTCACGGAACATATGTCCTAGTTGTAGAAATGAACAATAAGTAAATAAAACATAATATAACACCATATAATGAGAAGTGTTAAGAAGGAAAACAATTAGATTTAGGGGGTAAAGAGTGTTTGAGGGTAGAGGAAGCTATTTCAGATGAGATGAATAAAGCAAATGTCTCTGAAGAGTCTGAATAAATTTATATTCTTTAGTCTAATAGCTGATATATGTCCAGTAAGCATTGAAATAAATGAGTAAGTGCATCAGAATATATACACAAAACATAAGAGTAGCAAAGGAGAGGAGAAAAATCACCTCCATTCGGATTAGAAGAGGCTAAAGTAGGATACATAAGATGGGACCAAGAAATAAGTAGCATTGGCTAGAGAGGCAAAGGGAGGGAAAGGCATTCCAAGCATAAGTAACAGTATGCACAAAGGCAGGGAAGAACATTACCATAAACATAGTGGCTTAAACAATACAAATTTATTATCTTATGATTCTGGAGGTCAGATGTCTGAAATAGGTTTCATTGGATTAAAATCAACATGCCTTCTGGAGGTTCTGTGAGAGCATCTATTTCCTTACCTTTCCAACTTCTAGAAGTTGCCTGCATTTCTTGGGCCATGCCTCCATTCCATCATCTTCAAAGTCAGCAGAGTAGCATTTTCAAATTTTCTTCTCTCTGATCTCTGCATCTGTCATTACATCTCCCTATGTGATTATGACCCCTCTCCCTTCCTTTTATAAGGGCTCTTGTGAATGTTCATATTAAATAGGATCAACTTCAAGTTTACTGCCTAATGATTTCAGCTCAGATTGGATTTGACCACCAAATTGATTGTTATATAAACCTTCATTTTCAGAGATTTTTGCATTATGAAGATGAGATTTTGTGTCTGAAGTTCTCTGTGATATTGGTCATTTTTCTGGGCTTCAATCATCTCGCATGCTAAAATGAGACATTAGATTAAGTGTGCATGGTTCAGATTTGAAATCTGAATGTCTAGTTAATTCTCTGATATAAGAAACACTATAAGTCAGTCAGTTATATAATATCTCAACTTAATAATTCCTTAGTTCAGAGGCCCTCAGCATTCTTGAAAGGTGAGTAGTAATTATTTATGATTTATATAAAAAAATTTCAAGTATCTAGGTCAAGAAGTGCTCCTACTTGGTCTTCTAGGTAGTTGGAACTAACCTATGTTTCAAGTTAATGAAAACAGATTAGTTTTTGCTTGCAATTTGATTTCCAGAATGTATTCTAATGTGTCGTATGGTCATAAAGAGACTGAGAACGATGGTAACAAGCATTGTATGGGTTTCATAACTTTCCTGTGAAAAACAAAAGGAACAAATAAAACAGGGTCAGAGCAAGGAAACAGAAGGGAATCTGCAAAGCCCCATTTTGTTTCAGTCTCAGTCTTTGAGTCTCCATTCCGAGTGAAATGAGCCTTTATTCTAAAGGGGCTAGACTCCCAATTAAGGGAAGACTAAAGTTAATCAATCACAGACTGATCTCTCCTGGATGGGGGTGGTCAATGTGGGCATTTATGGGTGGGAAAATAAAATGAAAACTAGAGACTAGATGCAGTAGACCATAGCTGATGAACTGCCTGCTGAATGCAGAAGTGATGTGTTTGGAGACTTGTTTTATTTGTCTAGAAACTGTTAAAAAATGTATTTGATTATCTTTGAGCTCAAGATTCTGTTTTCTACTTTTCCTGTGGTGGTGTACCTTGTCACTTCTCTCATTTAATTTACCTAATGGCCCCTGAAGCCATTTATATTTGCTATTCCTGCCAGTAGATTGTGCTATCAAAGCAGATTTTTACAAAATTGAAAGATTATTGTTAGGATGGGAGGCTTTGGTACGGGTTTAGGAATTGTTATTGCAATTATTCTGTGGAGCTAGAAGACATCCAGTTACTGCCAGCTACATTTTATTTATTTCATCAAATAATAATTATTGAGTACTTATTGCTCTTACTAGGCACTAGAGATGCAATCAAGTATAAGAAAATCATCAGCCACATGTCTATTTAGGGAGGCAGACATCAAGCCAGTGAATATGCTGATATGAAGATTCATACAAATTATCATGGAAAGGAGTAGGATAGGATGACAGGAACAAGGGTACTCCCTTGATGGAGATGACTGGTTAGGTCTCTCCGCAGAGGTCAGTATAGTGGTCAAGTTGAAGGCAGAGTAGGAATCCCAGTAAAAAGAGGTAAGATGTGTCTTTGAGGCAGAGGGAACAGCAAGTGGGAAGGATTTAAAGCAGAAAAACTTGATATATTTGTGAAATAGAAATATCAGTATAGTTGGAAGATGAATGAGAGTGGAGAGATGAACAAGGGTAAGATCATGTAGATCATTTAAAGAAGTTTGGATACCATTTTTAAACAGCAATGGAAACCACAGAGAGGAATCAAGCAAAGTCAGACGAGAGTTTTTAAGAGGTTTCTTAGTTTGCTGTCTGGGAAATGAGCTGTAAGAGTTCAAAGGCAGGAGGTGATGGTGACTTGAGATACTGTGGGTGGACATCTGGGATATACATTGAAAAGAATCTTGAAGGAAAGGATGTGGATGTCAGTAAAAATCATACTCTTGGGAGGATTGTCAGTGTTATGAAAGGCTTGAAACAAGAATACCTTAACCAGAGAATCTATACAAATTCTATACTGGGATTTACATCACTATATTCCTAAAGTTGGTGGTCATTCACCATGATTCTTGTCTACTTGGTGGAGTTTCCAAAAGCCTTGGACTTTTTAAGATGATTTAGGTTATGGCAAAGGTCATTAGACTTAGTTCAACCTAGTGGATATGAGAAATCTTATGAAAAAAGGCACTGTTCCTTAAGGAGCCACTTAACTCATCGGTTTACCCTGGAGGTGATGTACTCTTAAATATATCAGTCCAGTTCAGTGCTATTGCAGGTTGGGTTCATGGGAAGTAGACGGTGAGGCACAGTTTGGGGCACAAAATATTTGTCAGGGATCCATAATGTAAAAGGAAAGAGGAGGAAGAAGGTTTGGGAAGATGAAGAATTCAATCCTGTGGCAAGTTCAACAAAGTCTGGGCCAACCTAGCACAGAGCTATGGAGCAAAAACTGCCCATCAGATCCCACACTGGGCCTTGCACTCTTCACTTGCTCAGCCACTTGATGGAGGCTGCTCCAGCAGTGGTATGCTTTTGGACAAGGCTGCTCTCTGCAGCTGAGGCCAGCTCTGAATGGGGTGATGGCATAATGTGCTTTCTAGAAGTGGATGGCACATCTCTGTGTCCATCACAAGGGCTATACTGCTTTATAGAAATAAAGAGTAATTTGGTTTGCTGCTCATTTCTTATGTAGTTTCTTTCCTCTTATGAATTCAAGATAAAGCACACACTTTTTTTTTTTTTAATCACGAGGTATTTATCTGTCACTGTGACAATCCAAGAAGCAGGAATTAAGAGGTAAAAGACTGGAAGGAAGAATTACAACAGGAAAGCAGAGAGGGAAAAATGAAGAGTGACTGAAAAGCAAGGAGAGGCAAATTTTAATAAAATAGAAGGAATTAGGGTACGTAGAACTTGACCTTATTTTAAGTCATTTGTGGAATATAAAGAACAGTAAGAGCAACCAAATAAGAAAAATAAAAACAGAACTGTAAATGCTCACAACAAAGTGGTGGTTACCAGAGGGAAAAGGCACAAAATATTTGTCAGGCATCCATAGCTTGGCGTCGGATGGTGACGGCATTTGGTGGTGGGTGTGGTGTGAAATACGTAGTTGCTGACGTGAGAAACTCTACCTGAAACCTGTATCATGCTGCAAACTGATGTGTACCTCCATAGAAAGAAAAAACACGATATTCAAAAAAGAAAAATTAACTCATAATAGAAAAGAAAGCAGTACAACTGATGTATCTTTAAAAAATAACATTGTGAAATTTTAACTGTCTGTTCTCCTTGACAGATGGTAAACATGGATAAAAGAGACCCTCCATTCATGACTCTTCAGAAAAACAATAGCTCAGGTACTTTTTCTACTTCCAGATCTGTTTTAAGATTTATATTTTACATATCATTTACATGATAAGATATTGGGATGTTGATTTGCAAAATTTTAGTAATGCAAAGCTTATTTGGTGGTCTATTGAGGGTTTTAATCTTCCAGCTAGTATTTTAATTTTCAACAGTAGCCTGGCCGGCCTTGCTTTCCTTCACTGTTTTTATCCTTAGGGCCTTTGAAACCTTCTTGTGTTCATCTGATCCATGATAGAACTGATAAATGTTAATTACTTTATGTGGAACAGATTAATTATTCATACAATTGAGGCAAAAGTAAATATTTTGCTTGAATTACTGAGGTTACTGTACTTTATGCTACTGACTTAGAATACCTTCTATGTTTTACTTTATCAAGATAATTAATATCATACTCAATTAGGATATTTTATGTATGTGAATAGAGACTGCCTGAACATTTTATATAAATTTAATTAGTCTTTTTTGGTCTATTAATTTTTTAGCTCTCAATTTCAGTTTTTTTTCCAAGTTTAACTGAAATTACTTTGATTTTTCTAAATTAGAAATGCAACTATTTCATAAAAATCTGTTTACTTAAATTGATTCATAATAATGTAATTCTCCAATATTCAAAGTTTATTCCTAACACATTTATATAAAAATGGTTCGAAAGTGGTGATTTTCTGAAATTTTTAGTATACTAACTTTAATGGAAGTATTCATTTTATGCCCACTAGAAAAAATGTTATGAAAAAAATTATATATTTTTTAAAAGTGTCTAAAGATAGAATTTCAAATATACTATGAAGTTATGACATATTATTATATTTATTTTAAAATATTTAAAAATAAGACCTGCAGTCAATATGTTGCCATAACTATATTTTGACTTCCAATAACATGATGCTATTTCTTTGTCATTTTCTGTGTTTGATAAAAAACAGATAATCTGGTTATCCATATGAAAAATGGAATAAGAAGCACCAAATATAAGCCAGTAGACTATCAACAATTGCATGCATTAACAGAAGCAAAATTAGCTTCTGCCTCTACAGAGCTAAAGGTTAGAAGTTGTGTATGTGTGTGTTCTAGTTTTGGAAAATTGAATTGCTAGGAAGTTTAATGATATTTACAATGTTAATGGGAAAATAAAATAACATTCTAAATAGTTTTTAGAATCTTTCAACTATTAGTAACAGTAAATAGCAGCTAACAATTATTGAATGCTCTCAGACACTATAGTATATAGTTTACATTCATTATTCATTTAATGTTCATAACAACCCTATGAGATCTGAATTCAACTTATTTTTTTAGAAGGACAGTTATTTAATTGGTTTTCAACAATTTCCAGCTTAATCTAAAAATTAAAATTGCTGGTAATTGCCAGTCATGAATTATCATTTGATTAAAAACTTATTCTGCAACACCATACCATCTGGTGCCTCTCTTTTCTAGAATTAATCTCTTTTGCACAGGTTATTTGCCTTGAGCCAAGGAAAAGTAAACCTGTCTAGATTTGAAAGGGGTTTATGTGGAGTAATTTTGCATAGTACTGTAGGACCCTGTATGGTTTACGATAACTTTAGCAGTATGTTTCCCTCTTGTGCAAATGTTACAGTTGATTAAAAGCAGTGTTTTCATTACTTACTTGTATAAAAATGTGGTTTGTTAATTTTTATTGTTAATATATTTCACAAAGGCAGCTTGCAATGATTCTACAGCATTTGATACTCTATTCTAGAAAAATCACCATCTATCCATAAGGTATATCCCCTCAAACAGAGATTAATTAAAAAGTAGGGCATTATTTGTTTGGTTGTGATGTAACTTTAAAGTTATCAAACATTCAAGGAAATTTCATGGGAAAATTGTTTACATAATATCCTACTTGCATATCTTTTTTTTTTTTTTTTTTTATCTTTAGAGACAGACTGTTTTATTTTAATGTTTTTTCATCTAGTTTTTCAAGTTTTTTTTAGCTTGAATATTTACACTGAATCATTCTAAGCATTTTATATTTTGTCATGCATTTTCTTTTTTTTTTTTATAATTATAATAGCTTTATTTTTTTTTTTAAATATTAAATTTTATTTTTATATTCCCCCATACAATTGCAAACGCCCCATTCTGACCCCAATCCTTCCCCTCCCGCCCCCCACCCCCAAAAAGTGTCTCTGGTTCATAGTTTTTTGTTGATTTTGATTTTCACTTTCTTATATTCATTTTCCTGGTCCCTTATTTAAGTTTTCTAGATTCCTGCTATGAGTGAGACCATCCGGTATTTTTCTTTTTCTTTTTGGCTTATTTCGCTGAGCATGATCCCTTCCAGTGCCATCCATGTTGCTGCAAATTGCATGTGTTTATCTTTTTTGAATGCTGAGTAATATTCCATGGTATATATGTACCACATCTTCTTGATCCAGTCATCTATTTTTGGGCATTTGGGTTGTTTCCAAAGCTTAGCTATTGTAAACAGTGTTGCTATAAACATAGGGGTGCAGGTGTTCTTTGGAATTGATGTTTCTGTGTCCTTTGGGTAAATACCTAGGAGTGGAATTGCTGGATCATATGGAAGCTCTATGTTTAGTAGGTCCAGAAATCTCCACACAGCTCTCCATAGTGGTTGGACCAGTTTGCACTCCCACCAACAGTGCACAAGAGTTCCTTTTTCTCCACATCCTCGCCAACATTTGTTGTTGCTAGTTTTTTTAATATGTGCCATTCTCACTGGTGTGAGATGGTATCTCATGGTAGTTTTGATTTGCATTTCCCTGATGACAAGTGATGGTGAACATTTTTTCATATGTCTGTTGGCCATTTGCATTTCCTCTTCAGAGAAGTTTCTTTTTAGCTCTTCTGCCCATTTTTGGACTGGATTATTTTCTTTGTTGTTGCTGAGTCTCATCAGCTCTTTGCAGATTTTTGTGATCAGTCCTTTATCATTAGTGTTGGGTGCAAAAATGTTCTCCCAGTTGGTGGGGTTTCTCTTTGTTTTTGTTATTGTCTCTTTTGCTGTGCAGAAGCTCTTTAATTTGATGTAGTCCCAGCTGTTTATCTTTCTCTTCACTATCACTGCTTTGGGTGATGTGTCTGTAAAGATGTCTTTGATGTGCAAATCCCGTAGTGTTTCGCCTATATTTCCTTCTATGTATTTTATGGTTTCAGGTCTTATGTCTAGTTCTTTAATCCATTTTGAGTTGATTTTTGTGTATGGTGTGAGGTAGTGGTCAAGCTTCATTCTTTTGCATGTAGCGACCCAGTTTTCCCAGCACCATTTATTGAACTACTTGCATATCTTTAACTTCTATCCAACGATTGTAGATACACCATATATATACATGTGGATACACATAAACATATACCTATATATTTTCTTCCAAGATAAAAATAAATATAAAATCCTATATACTTTACCCCCTAACATTTTGTTACATAATCTTTACAATATTTTAACTAGAATATGCCATTTACACCAGAAAATACATGTTTTTTATGAGCCTACTATTCACCTCGAAACAATAGTGGTGAAAAAAACTTAACCCTCATCCTCATAGAGTACCTTGTTTGCTGGAAAGAAGGAGGAGGGAAGTTGGTGTTTTTCAAATAAGCTCTGAAATAAATTATATTAAGATAAATTCCAATGAAAAACATGCTGTCTGCTGTATAATAACAGGGATTGATCCAGATTGGGTTGGTGGTTGGAGAAGAATTTCTTGAGGAACTGATACTGGAATTGAGGTCTCAAGGTCACTAAGAATGAACTAAGCAAACACAGTACAACAAATAGAAAAAGAGACATACATTAGCACATCATGAATTTTGGATATTTGTATTGTTTCCAATTTCAGGATATTGCCTATCACATAGCAGTAAATGTCTGCATGCATAGACTCCTTTCATATTTTAGAATCCTCTGCTCCCTCTGGATCAATTTCCATATTGGAATGTTTGGGCCAAAAAGTATAAGTGCTCTTTGTGTTTTTGAAACCTAGTACCAAATTTCTTTCCTAAAATGTTATTCTAATAAAGATGTCAATAAAATCATTTTCTTTACACCTCTGTCACTATTGACTAAGGGAATATAAACGTAAATTCCTAATATGTCCATCCATCCATCCATTCATTCATCCATGCATCCATTCATGCATCCATTCATGCATCCATCCCCAAAACAACATACTTTGGCTGAATATGGAATGATTGCTAAAATCAGTATTTTCTTTGAAATAGAATCATTGTCAAAGAATGAACAATTAAAAATTTTGATAATTATTGTGGTTTTAAAAGTTTGACATTAACTACAGGGATAGTAGTTTTTCAGCATTGTCAACTGCTACATTGCTTCCCTGGTCACTTTATTAAACATATGTGAGGCTAAACAGATGACCAATTTCAATTAGCATTTTAAATACCATCACTAATCTTTTCACTTATAGAATATAATTCTGGGACAAATTTTTTCAGTACATGTTTTCAAGAAATAACTTTGTTCTTTCTAGGTTCATATATAGCTTTGAATATCTGAAAAAAATCTCTTGTCTTCAACTGCTGAAAATGGTTCATAATCTATAGCAATCAGTTTCACAAGCTTTTTATTTCCATTTTCAATTCCCACAGATTCAAGTGACAATGAATTGTCCTTTTGAAGCATTTTTATAATATTTTTCATTTTGAAATTTGGTTAGTGAAAACAAAATGTGTCAATTTCTTCTTTATGTATTTTTCATTTTTTATTATATCTGGACTAAAGAAGATGGGAATATTGGTGTATGTAATTTTAAGTGAGATAAAATTTCATTTAATTTAGAGATATCAAGTTGACATTTTGCTTTTAATTTATTCTTGCAAGATGTGAACAATTCCCAAATAGGACTTTTGTGCTTCTTGGAAGATTCATGGCTTAAATGGAATTAGATAACTGGAAATTAAATACAAATCTAAACCTTATTTTGTTTAATGTTATGAATGTTAATATACCAAACAGTTCACACTAACTAAATTATGATTATAATATCTCCCTGTTGTTCTTTCTTATACTATTATTTATAAATTTTTATGAAATATGTGTTGGCTCAAGAATACATTATTCTTCCTAATGTTATACAATTAATATATTTTCTCTTAACATTTGTATTAATTATCAGTTCAGTTACCTATTTATTTTACTAATTAAATGTGCTTTTGCACATGAAATTAAGAGTTTTAACAATCATTGTTAATTATTACAGCATTTGGCAATATTTAGTATAAACATACTTAAACTGAATAATAGAAAGTTGATATTTAAAGCATATAAGGAGATTTTTGCTTCAAGTTATAGCTGGAATATTCAATGTACTTGAAAATAGCAATAATTGTTATTAACTAACAGTAAATTCAGAATACTTTCCTGGTTTGTGTTTCGGATTTTATCACATTGATTACATATGTTGCCAATTGTCACCTATGTAATTCTGTAAGACATGCACAAGTATTGGGATGTCAGATAAGACACTGAAGAGAATAGTGAGTGATTTAGTCTTTCAAAGGCTAAAATTAAACCTGCAGCCAAGTGGTAGACTTAAATTGAAAACTGAGACCAATTTTTGGTACATTTTATGTTAACTATTCATTCCCAACTTAAATACAAGAGATCTTTACAATTATGTTTATTTGAATTTATTTGCTCAGCAAGAATGAGTATTTCTTCTTGTCCAACTCAAATATCCATAATTGATTTTTTAAAAATGTTACATTATGGAACATTGTAAGCCTATGCTAAACTAGCACGAGGCTCTCATTAGTGTGCATATAAAATTAGGCAGCTTCAATAGTGATCAACAATTGGCCATTGTTTCCTCTGTACTCCCACCCACAACTTCCTCCTGTGCCAAATTATTTTGAAGCAATTCTCAGACATTATATTTCACCATGAATATTTCTAAAAGATTAGGGCTAAAAAAACCACCCAAATCCTACAATACCATTACTGTTAAAATGTCAATTTCTTACTATATTCAAATATATATAGTCAGTGTTAAATTTCCATGATTTTCTCTTTTTTTCTTTGACATTTATTCAAATCAGTATCTAAATAAGATCCATATGTTACAATTGATTTTTGTGAATTAGATTTCTGTCTCCCTTCTTTTGTATTCTTATAATTTATTTTTTGAGGAGATTATCATTTGTCTTCTAGTCTCTTATAGTCTGGATTTTGCTGATTACATCCTTGTGGTGTCATTTCATGTGTTTTTCTGACTCTTGTATTTTCAGTAAATTAGTAGTTATATCTAGAGACTTGATCAGATTCAGGTTCAATTTATTTTGGCAAGAACACTTACTGATGGAATTTTGTGGGTTTTTTTTTTTTCTATTACAAGTAGTGTTTCAGTGAATAGCTTTGTTTATTCATCTTTAAATTATTTTGTCAATATAGTTTTAAAATTTCCATAAGTAAGATTTCTAGGTTAACAGGTAAATTCATAGGCAATTTTGATATACATCTCTTAGCTCCCTTCGATGGGAGGTATATTCGCATCGTATTGTATTGCTATTAGGAAATAAGAAAGAATATTTCCCCATAGCCTGCCAGAGTGTTAAATATTTGTGTTTTGCCAACTTGAAAAATGAGAAATTATATTTAGTGAAGCAATCAGATTTTTTCCTTTCTATGTTAACAGTTCTTTATAGAGGTACAACTTACAAACAATTAAGTGCATAACTCTTAAGTGTACATCTCAATAAATTTTGACAAATATGTATACACATGCAACCAACACTTAAATTTTTTTGCTATTAGCTATTTTTGTTTATATTTAAAGATGAGTCATTTGGCCCAAAGGACTTTTGTGGTATTTCAGAGTGCCTAGTTAGGGTTTTATTATCTTGGATGATTATAATAAATCACACAGGAAACCTCTAGTTTCTGATTCTTTTATAAATTTATTGTTTTTGATTCAACATTCTGTATAAATCATCATCTACCTTAAGCATTAACTTATAGGTTATTACCCAGCAAAATGAATTGGAATCACCTAGAAATCTCTCTATTGATAAAGATATAACTGTTTGTTCTTCTAAGACTTTATTTTTCTTTATTTTTGCCCTGAGGATAGAAAAGAAGTCAATGAATGAATTTACAAAATATCAGGATGTTCTGCAAAATATTGGATGTGTCCAGTGAAAAATAGTGGCTTTATTTTGACTTTTATAGTCTATTTAATTGGTCTTACCTGGGCCCAAAGGCAGCAGCATTGATTTTTTTTTTAACTATAAAAATGTGTCTACATCTTTCACCAATGTATTTTAATTTTTTTGTACAACATATACCAAATATGTCAAAGAAACATAATTTTAAAATTTGTGTCGCCTGCAACAAACTTTAGAGACGATAGAGATCAAATAGATGGAATGCGTTTTAGGCATTTTTAAAACAAATACTAGAGTCTCGGATTTTGGAAACACTATGTGCTTTTAATTTTTCAGTAGGTAAAATAAGAGATTTGTAAATATTTTCCTTAGTATTTTTGTTTAAATGATCTTTTCTCCCAAATTTCATAATGGTATCACCCTTCAGACTGCCTGTGAAAAGACTTGGTTTTGCCTTTTTGTTTTTTAAAGAAATCTTTGAGTTATTTTATTTTCTTATATCTCAGATTTTGAATCAGTAACCAGACAGCAGAAAGATAAACTCAAGGTTAAAGTAATCAGTGAATGACAGCTAGAAATAGCATGCATTATAAAGAGTCTTTTTAGTCTTGTCTTCTGAAGTTTTTATATCTTCAGTATTGATCTGTTAAAGCATGCAGGGTGCTAAGTATTCTAGTAGCAGAGAAAATATAAAATATGCATATTTCATCAAGTTCCTGATTTGAGAGTAGCACTTTTATAGATGTTTAAAAGTATTAATATGAAATACATGAGTTCAGGGTACATACGACTGTCAGTCAAAGTCTAGCCAGGAAACACACACCACTTGAGGACTTAGAGTAAATGGGTCTTTAATGCAGGAAATGATTACAAATGATTACCCAGTGATAGAGTGGAGAAGCCACAGTACGGTGAAGCAGTACAGGGATTAACGATAGCAGGAAGTCGCTGCTATCCCTACGTCAGAGGAATAGGTATTAAAAGACCATACCTCACTCTATGGTAGAGGTTACCCAGAGATAATTGGAACTGTAGTAAAACTGTCAAGAAAAGGTTGCAACTGTGGAGAAGATGCAGATGCTCGTAGAGAACTATCTTGGAGTACAGAAGGCAGGAGGAGTAAATCCTTTAGTTTTTCCTTGCTTCTCTCCCTTCTGTCTTCCACCACTACCGTCTCCTCCCTTTGTTTGGGAGTCACTTGTTTGGAAGGCCACTGACAGGCATGCCTGAGAAATACAGGCTGCTCTGTGATATAAAACAGATCAGGAACGTGGCCAAGAGAGGCTCTTAGGGCAAACAGACCCAATCTTGACGCAATTTATCCACAGAAATCCAGAAAACAGTATTAATTATGTGCCACATTTGAAAAAATCAAATTTAAGGAAATTTAAATTTAGTTGAAAATTTAGGTTTCAACACTATGATTTTTTTTAACCATTTAAGTACTTGCAAATACATATTGGCCAAATTTTAAATTTTGTATTTTATTTACTGAGTCATGAACTTGAAAGATTAAAATTATATACTCAGGATCATATTTCTAGTACAATCTAAAGCTCAGACTACTGCCAGATCTTCTAACAAATTATACAATGACTTTTCCCCATCTTGTGCTGAGGGCTCAAATAAAAAACAGTCCTACCACTATGGTTCTGTGTGATTCTGTTTATAAACTTTGTCATTTTGACCAAGTCTTTTAACCTCTCTAAACTTCAGTATTTTCATACATAAAGGAGGAATAATAATATTCATGATGCCTCTCATGGGAAAAGTGCCCAAAAAGCTATATAGGTATTTTTTTAAGATTATTTATGCATACAAGAACTGGGGTGAAGGCCAGAGGTTTGGTGGCGAGTGGGAGTGGGGGTGTGAGAGGATTTACCAGAAACAGAGTGGGAAGCAGAACAGGAGGATCTACTGAAATACACTGCTGAGGGGAGCAGCAGGGCAAGAAAGGAGAGGTTTGCTGTGCCATGAGGATCAACTTCCTAGCTGGGGATCAAACTCATGGCGCAGTGACTGGTGATAGCTTGATAGCACTGTGTCTTTAAACCCTGCACCACCAGGGAGGCCCAGCTATATAGGTATTTATATCTATCTATCTCATCTCTGTCTCTACATGTACACTTTCTGGGACTATATGAATTAAGGTGTTATTTATTGTATGCATGAAAATAGAATTACTTCATCTTTCTTAAAAAAAAAAAGAAAACTTTAGAAATAGTTCTTTATTTGATCAGTATTTCAAGTCACGTTCTTTCCCCTCCCTGCTTTTTAGTACACTACCTATTTTAAGGTGGATTTTGTGTTAGAAGATGCTCATATAGGATTTAAAAAGAGTTATCAACTTGGACAATACAGACTAAACAGACTAAACTAAATGTGTTTCTCTCGTGGCAAACATTTAGAAAACATTGACATTGTTCCTCCTTTGTTCCTCTGATTCTAGATCAGAAAAACAGTGCAGACTTCAAAGATATCTAAAGAACAAGCACTAATAAAACAACACAAACAAGTATGGTGGCAGGAACACCGAAAGCTAAATGAAGTCAGGTAAGAACTGAGGGAAATCTCAATGAGAACATGTAGGAATTACACACTAGTTAGCTATTCTTTAACTTTCTATGTTAATTAAATCATTATAATCAAAATTTAAAGTTATTGGTTGAATGTGAATCAAATTACAATCCTTTCATTTCCTCACTTTAATTTGGAATCCAATGAGTACATTAATATAGCTTTTGCTTTACTTAGGAAAAAATGATAATCTTCATTCATTTTTTCTTCTATATTCCCACTCATACCGTGCTTAGTTATAATATCCTTAGCACATTGGAACATAATGTTTTGTTTACATACTTTTCTTCTTATAAGGTGGCAAACTTCTCAAGAGCAAACATGCCATCATATTCATCTTTGCATTGCAGGAGACCTGAAAGAACAGCTCTCAATACTTTAGATAAATGAATGAAAAAATTGCTAAGATTTTCAAGTTGTTCAGTGATTTCTAAATGTTACTGCAGCATGTCTAACTTTTTCAGTTTGGATTTCTGACTTATATTAATATTTCCAGCAGTCATTTCAAGATGAATTCAAACAAAATAATGATTCTATACTTGGTATTAATTATAATCTTTGAAACATAAATTCCTCAGAGTTTAAGGCAATGTGAGAGATCAGATGTTTCTCCTCCATTTGAGGCATCTGCACCAGCTTAATGATGGTGGCATTTATATAGTATGCTTTTCAAATTTTCTTTATTAAGATAACATTGGTTTACAACATTGTGTATGATTTAGGGGGTAAGTTCGCACCTCCTCAACTGTATGTTACAATACCAGCCCCCACCATCCAGGTACATATAGTCCTTTACCCTAAGCCAATGCGTCCTCTCCCCACTGTGTTCCCACCTCCAGTGGCCTTAATTATGTGATCGTATTTCTAGGGTTTATTTGGATTGAGTTTTGTCAGTTCTTTTGTGCTTTTCTCTCTGTGTTCCACACGTGAGTGAAGTCATGGAGTATTTGTCTTTCTTCTTCTGACTTACTTCACTTAGCATAATTCCCTCCAGATACATCTATGTTGTTACAAATGGCCAGAGTTCATATTTTCTTTATACCTGAGCAATATTTCATTGTGTGTGTATATGTGTGTGTATATATATACATATATATGTATATCACATCTTAATTCACTGCTCTGTTGATGGACAGTTAGATGATTTCCATAATTTGACTATTGTAAATTGTGCTACAGTGAACACAGGCATGCATATATCCCTTCAAATTAGAGATTTTGTATTTGAGTAGACACCTAAGTGAGAAATTGCTGGATCCATGATCGACCTATTCATAATATTTTGAGGAAACTCCATACTGATTTCCATAGTGGCTGGACCAGTTCACAATCCCAAAAACAGTTACAAGGATTCCTTTTTCTCCACACCTTCACCGACATTTGTTGTTTCTGGTTTTTTGGATATGGATGATTTTACTAGAGTGAGGTGGTATGTCATTGTGGTTTTGATTTGCATTTCTCTGATAAGTGATGTTGAACACTTTTTTATGTTCCTTTTGGTCATCTCTAATGTTGTCTTTGGAGAAGTGTATATTTAGCTCTTCTGCCTATTTATTGATTGGATATTTGTTTTCTTTTTGTTGAGTTGTATGTGCTACTATGGCCTTTTGAGGGAATGAAAATATAAGAGAGCTGAGCCTGAGGGTTTTTAAGTGTTAAGTTTTTGGTTATACAAATCCATTATAAAATAACTTTTGTTTTGATTCTAATATTATGTACTCATCCGCCATATGACTGTCTTAGATAAATAATCTTAAAAATAGGACTTTTAAGATTTTTCTGGCAAAAACTACATGCTGAAAAAGTAAACATTGAAGTGTCATTTACAAAAGCACCCCTCTTTTATAAATATAGCAAAAAAATCCTGTTCCATGTTAGTGAATTGCTTTAGAAGATAATCATACATATATAAAATGGAATACTATGAAGTCATTAAAATAATTATAAAAATGATTTTGAAATATTCATTAAAATATTATTCCAGTACTCCCAATATAAATGTTCAATATGCCGTAATTACAACTATTTAAAATATATATATGCATGTAGACAAGGCCAGAAAATTTACATGCAAAAATGAAAACAGCCTTATATTAAAGTTATAATTATTGCTATTTTTTTTACTTTATACCACTGTTAGCATAGCATTTTAATAATCATAATAAATCAAAATTTTCTATGATTTCATTATATCTACCATAAGCAAGGGGTAAATTACATTATTTTTGGATACTCCAAAAATGACTATATTTAAATAACAATAAAAGATTAAGATTTATTATTTTATTGGTGTTTAAAAATAAATTGTTTTTATTCCCATTTCCCTAGTCCAGCTCTTCATCAACTTTCTCTCTTTTTTTTTTAAGATTTATTTATTTATGTATACTAGAACTGGGGTACAGGCTAGATGTGTGGGGGGTGAGAGGACTCACCAGAGACAGAGTGGGGAGCAGAACAGGCAGACTGACTGAAATACATTGCTGAGGGGAGCAGTGAGCAAGTCAGGAGAGGTCTGCTGCGCCATGTGGGTAGCTCCCTTGCCGGGGATCAAACTCGTGCTGCAGTGGCTGCAGATAGCTTCATAGGTTGCATCTTAACCCCTTGCACCACCAGGGAAGCCACATCATCTCTTTTTTATAAAAAAAAATTAAAGTAACATTGGTTTATGAAATTACATATTTTTCAGATGTACAGCATTATATTGTACTTCAACATCTGTATATACTGTCAATACATTTTGATCACCACCAAAAGACTAGTTTCTATCCACCACCAAATAAAGAACCCTCTTTATTCATTTCACCCACCCCAACCCTTTTCTACTTTGGTAACGATGAATTTGTCCTCTGAATTGAAATTTGCTTTCATTTGCTTTGTTTATCTTCCACATGAGTGAAATAAAACATTTCCATTGTGTGTATATGCCACATCTTTATCCATTCATTTGTCAGTGAGCACTTAGATTGTTTCTATAACTTCACTACTATAAGCAATGCTGAGTGAGTATAGAGATATATTTTTGTATTTGATAAATACACAGAAGTGGAATTGGCAGATCACATGGTATTTTTCTTAATTGAGGAATCTCCATACTGCATAGTGGCTGCACCAGTTTACATTTCCATCTACAATTTGTACAAGTGTTCCCTTTTCTTCACATCCTCACCAATACTTATTGTTTCTTGTCGTTTAGATTATAACCACCTTAACAGGTATGAAGTGAAGTCTCATTGTTGTCTTGATTTGCATTTCCCTAATAATAAGTGATGATGAACATCTTTTTATGTGCTTCATGGTCATCTGTCTAACTGTGGAGAAATGTCTATTCAGATTTTCTGCACATTTTTTAAAATTCATTTTGCTATTGTTGAGCTTTATGAGCTATATTCACATTTTAGATATTAACCCCTTGTTGAATATATGATTTGCAAATATCTTCTCCTAGTCAGTAGATTGTCTTTCCATTTTGATGATGTTCCTCTTATGCAGAAGCTTTTCAGTAATACTGTTTTTGTTTATTTGTTTTGCTTATGTTTCCATTATCCTTAGAGTCAATTCACAAAAACATTGCTAAAACTAACATTGATGAGCTTACTGCCTGTGTTTCCTCCTGTTTCATTTGTGGTTTCAGGTCTTACATTGACATCTTAAATTCATTTTGAATTAATTTTTATGTATGGTATGAGATTGTGGTCTAGTTTCTTTTGAGTGTGCTTTTTAGCTTCCTCAACACAAGAGGACCTCATCATCTTTTAACTTTTAAAATAGCTTCCTTTTGGTCCAGGTCTTCCTGTTCCCATCTCTTCATTTTCCATTTTTATTGATCGTCCATACTTCCAGACTATTCTCCATCTGCCTGCCTTGAGGATCTTTCTGAAATATAGATCTGCTGAGCAGGTGAGGTCAGCTTAATATTTCTCTGTGGTTCCCAATACCCTGAGCTCTCCCCACATGAAGCAGTGCCAGGACTTCCTATGTGCCTGCCTTTACTCACACTATTACTTCAGCCTGGAGTGTTTACTTATGCTTCTTTCTACCTTAGTTTCTGAAAAATATCCTATCTACCTTCTGAATTTAGTATATGACCTAATTAATTAAACAAACAAGTGAATAAAACTACATTAGATTGAAAAAATAGCTAGCAGTACAAATGTTCAAACATGTATGTGTGGGTATGATTATGATTGTAACAAAAACTGATTGAGACAATGTCTATTTCAGATATAAAATGGAATCTGAAATAAAATCCTTTCTCATTGAAGAGCACATTGGCAATGAATGTCTTGCTGACTTTATAAATTTTGGTGAGTTTTTATTTTTTGATCCTCTATTAAAAGGGAAGTTTTGTTTTGAAGATGAACTCAGTTCGTGTTCTTTCAATATTAACTGTTGTTTGTTTTTTTCTAAAGGAATCCAAAAATAAATCTGCATCCCAATGACCTGTTCTTGGAGAAACTTATAATAATGTTACCTTGATTTAATTTTGTTTTGTCACAGGACAAGAGCTATCAGAACAATGGTGCACATATCTTAAAAATGTAATAAGTCCTATTCATCAATTGAGAGCAGATCTAAAGTATAGACAACATGACCTTTTACAGCATTCACATTCATATACTGAGTTTAACTCTGTGAAAATACTGGAAGAGGTCAGTGTATTCCCTTACCTTTATTGTTAATCATGTAGCATTTCATTTTTGTACCAATAGAACAGTACAAAACAGTCTGAGATTAAAAACAACAACAACAACAAAAATAGGCATATCTTGTATACATTTAAGTAGAAGGTACAGCAAATTCTGTTTACTCACTATTTTACATATATTACTGTATTTGTGCATCTGTGCTCATTTCTTAGCTGGAATCTTACAGTGGCCTCATTGCTGGTGTCCAGCTTTCATTATTGCCCCTCCTTCGAGTTGATTTAGAGATCCTCCCTCCAGTGCAGGGGCATCCAGCCATCCCCTGGTGAGTCCCCTTAGGCTCTTGCTGGATCATAATTCCTCCCTATATTTTGTGCCCTCTCATCTGTCATTGCCATGGCCTTATTGTTATTTCTCACATACCAGGTTGTTTCCTCTGTCCCACTGATGGCAGATCTTAGCATAATTCTTAGCTTGAATGTCCTCTCCTGTGAGATGCCTGCCCTGATAACCCACATGAGAGAAACCAAAGTCATTCCCTAGCATATCATTCTGTTTCTACATCCCTTACCTCTCCCTGGTACTTTTTTATCCTTTTTTTTTTTTTTAAGTATATTGACTACCTCCCTTGACTAGAGCATAAACTGCATGATTATAATTGCAAAACATCTTGGATTTTAGCTATTTGTCTCAATCTGTATTTCAGTTATTGGGTAGTGTTATTATATTGCTTTTATGAATAATAATGTTAAAATACCACTAACAATCCGTGTTCACCTGGGGATTAGAGATAAGGATATAAGAGAAGTAACAGGCAATTGAAACAGAGGTAAACTCTTTGCATTACCACAAACAAAACCCAAATGTGGGTGCAGAATGGCTGTGACCACACTTTACTTCTCATGCCCACTTTTAGGTTATGACAGGAAGCCTCAATGACACTCCTTTGAGCACTGCCTGACTGTGGCATCCCTCGTACCCTCTCCAACAGTCCCTCAAAGGGACTGTCCTTTATCTAACTTTTCATTATTTATTAAGTTTTGAGAATAAGTCCTATCCTTTTAAATATCAGAGTTGGATGAATCATAGAAATTTGCATGATACTCATAGTAAATGTTCTGTAGGTTGACTCCATGAAAAAACAATTGAAAACTGTCTTTGAAAGACTTAACCTGGAGCAACAGAAAATAGAAAATGATCTTTCAGACTGGAGTATGAAAGTAAGTATGATGAGATAGTAATTTGCTTATCAACTTGTCACTTACGTTATTACAAATTATCAATTTGTCACTTATGTTAATTAAAACAATCGTATAATTTTTTATATTTTATTTTATATAATTATTACATCATTTTTCATTTTTGCACAATGTATGCATTTTCATTTTAGTTATATTCCCCATACAATTCCCACCCCCCCTTATTTTAGCCCTAATCCCACCTCACTTCCCCCCAACCCCTTAGTGTCTCTGGTTTATAGTTACTTGTTGATTTTGATTTTTTCTTTATTATAATTAGTATTTTTCCTGGTCTATAATTTAGGTTTTCTAAATTCCTGCTATAAGTGAGACCATCTGGTATCATATAATTTTTTTTACAGATACTAGATTATTCTTCAGAAGAAAGAAGCTATCAGCTAAGTGAACTGCCCATCGAATTAGAAACTTTGGAATGCCCATATCCTGATTTGAAATCTTCAGTCCTTAATGAATTCTGTAACTTTACAGAAAAATATAAAAAGAAACTCCAAGATTTTGATATGCAGTTAGAAGACATACACAGGTGATATGATAAAATTATTTGAATGAGATAGATTTTTGCCATAAAATTTTAATTTTTGTTGGGGGTGCACTATACTTCTGACTTGCTGTTTTCATAGTTACTAAATAATTAGTTTCAATTAATAAATGTTTAAATTGACTATTTGTTTACTGGAAGGGTTTTTTCTCCAAAACAATTTTCCTAAAAAATGGTTTTAAAGATTTTTTTTTAAGCTTGAACATGATATGCTCTTAACTACACAGGTAAAAAATATTTTTCAAACATGAATTTTTAGTAAACTATGAATTTTCATTGCAAGATATGAAGCTCTTCAGCGGGAATTTATAAATCAGTACTAATAATTGATTACAGTGGAATTATGTTACTTGCAATCCACCGTGGTATTGTCCTATGCTGAATACAAACAAAGTATGTTTTGTAAATTTTTAAAAAGATGGTCAATTTTTAGGAAATATACTTTTGGTTGTGTCCTGAGAATGATATTTTTCTTCTAAGAGACGGATATAATGTTAAGTGATTTAAAATTCATTTTTGACAGGGTCATCTTCTCTAATGTAAATTCTATATTAAAATGCATTTAATGAACGAACTCAGAAATGCCACCTTGGTTCAGCTCAATATTCTACCTCATTTAATGTTCTTTATATGAAATTTCTGAGGAACAACTTATTGGGAACTTCCTTTTTATCTTATTATATTGACCTCAAGCTTCTCCTGAAAGAATATATATTCTAAAAGGAAGGGACATGACTGAAAGAACACATTTATAGTGCATTTAAAGTAAAATGCTTTTACCTTGAGATGGAAGAAAATAAATATGATAATATTTTTTCTTGCACTTAATAAATTGCCTGTGGATGAAACTTCTCTATGTGGAATGAATAACAAAGGATTTTAAGAAATGCATAACAAGAAAACCTTTTATCTTACCACATGGAATTCTTTGCTTTAGTAGTGCCTTGACCCAAACTTTTCAGTTAGCTTCTACTTTTTGTTTTTTTTTTTTAAGATTTATTTTTATTTATTTATACAAGCACTGGGTACTGTCAGAAGCACGGGAGGGTGAGAGAATTCACCAGAGTCAGAGCGGAAAGCAGAGCAGGCAGACTGACGAAGTACACTGCTGAGGGGAGCAGTGGGTGGCAGGAGAGGTCTGCGCGCCATGTGGGACCCGGTGGCCAGGGATGGAACCGGCGCTGCAGAGGCTGCGGGCAGCTTGGCAACCCAGCACTCAACTGCTGCACCACCGGGGAGGCCCTGGCTTCTACTTTTATCACCTCACTCATTTGTAGGTTGAACCTAAGTCATACCTGTCCTAATTTTCTACATCTCTGTGGGGATGGTCATGTGTTTGTCCTGAAATCTTTTGGTCTCCTAAGAGCCCCCTTCCTACCATCCCACTTCCCTCTTTCTCTGCCTGCCTTTGTTTCTTGCAATAAAACTGAGAATAATATTAATATATCATTTACATATGTTGATAGATTATTTCATAATACTTTAATTGAAACTTAGTCATGGTGAAGTTTTACTTAAGTGTCTAACTGTAAAGTAAACATCCCCTCTCCCTTCCCCATCTGAACCTTGTTGAAGAAATTTTAGACCTTCTCAGGGAAGAGGGAGAGGTATTTATTTATTTATTATTTATTTATTTATTGGCAGGGAGCAGGATTGTTATCAGGCTGATTGTGTTTGTGGGAGATAAATTTGACTGTGTTCTTTTAAAGCAACTTGGCTGCCCCATGATCTTTCAGGTGGCAACTTGCCCTTACTCTAAGTTGGTTGAGATTGTGCTGTTTGTTGCAGCTTCAAAACTTGGAAGAATTTCCTTTAGCAGCTGTAATGGTTACCTTCTACTTAGGCCTATCCTTCACAGCTCATTTTCCTACCCTACTTTGAATCTGAACTCAATTTCTACTCTTCCTTCATAGAACCTTTTGTCACTCTGAAAAGAGTTAAGATTCACAGTCTATTGCCACTACTGAAGAGTAAGTAGAGAATAAGATGAATATGCATCACGTGTACCCTGACCAAATGAAAATTACATGCAAATGTCAACTGAAGAGGCTATTTTATAAATATGCTGGCAGTAAATGTAACATCGATAAAACTGAATGAAGTTTTAGGAGTAGGTTCATTGAGGAAAGAGTCAATGAGCTATTTTGAATAAATACAGACATAAGGAAAGGTGGTAGGCATCAGTCTTCTGTGACTGGTGGCAGTGAGGCGTGTAAATACACTGTCCTAACTAGCACAGTGAATTATGGGTTCAATTATAATATTGATTGGACTTCTAGCTTACCAATATCTGCCCTTATTTTGATGGTCATTTCCCATTTTGGTTCTAGTTATTAGACCTTGTGAGACTTTATATTGATCGGTGTACTTGCATGTTCACACCCGCACAACTTAGCATGTACATATTTTAAATATGTACATAAAAGGTTGACATAAAAAGGTTGAAATACCTAGGATATATTTTTAAATTGTGTGAATGGGCTTTTTGGTGACTAAAAGATCCTTAGTTTTAAGCAACAGTTGATTTGATTTCACAATATCTGTGACTAATTAAAATTGATCTGTTGATTTAATATGATTGCAAATGAAGAGCCAGTAAAAGTTATTCCAAAATTTACCAGAAAAACTAGCTTCTAAAAACAGGCAAAATGTCAAAATGAATAAGTAGGTATAAAAGCATAGTGAAACTTGCACAAATATAAATATATATCTTAATTTCAAAATAAATCAAAGTTTTATATGTCCATGAAATATGTGGCAGATCAGTGGAACAAAATAGAAATATAGAAAGCAGAAACTATCTATAAGTAGTTTAATTTATTATAAGGGGAAAATTTCAAAACTGTGGGGAAAGATTGGGTTATTTATAAGATAGTACTAAATAAAAAGCAAATGAAAAATAAAGTTAGATCTCTTCCTTCCTCCACATGACTCAATAAATTTCAGTTGCATTAAATTTTTTGAAGAAAAAAACTCAGAAAAGTATTAGATAAAAGGAAATATTTAGTAATCTTGGAATGGGGGAAAGTCTATTTTAATATGCTACCTTCAGTCAAAATCAGAAAAAGTTTAATGTTTATGCTTAATGACATAATGTTTATGTTTAATGACATAAACATTAAAACAACTAAAACAATCTAACAGGTTGGTTTCTCAAGCAAGTTTTAATCACTAAAGAGCCAACAGAGACTTATAATTTCCAGTCCAGCATGTAAAGAATTGAGAATTTACTGTTCCATTCTTCAATAAGTAAAAAACTGAACAAACTGAATAATCAGCAACTCTTCTCAGAAACATCAAGGAAGTTAGAGGATAGGACAAACAACCATACCTCTAATTGGAGAGACAGGTAATATAGAGAATCACAACTTATCTGAGAAGAAACCCAGGAGCAGAAGTCTCCAAGGGAACCAGAGTTGGGAGTAGAAAAACCTGAATATAATTGATGAATTGCTGGAAGTTGAGTGTGGACAACTCTGAGAATTAAAAACTCTTAGTGGACTTAATCATATGGGAACCCCTACACTTTCGTGAGTGAGCTTTCTCTCTAGGAAACTCAAAAATTATTAATTTTTTCCCCTCCAGTTTTCCTTCTAGTAGTTTTCCCTCTAGTAGTTTTCCCTACTAGGAACTCATAGTGAATATCTGAGAAAAGTCCCCGGATGCCTCTGGCAGTAGGAATGGAAAAGAAAACATTTTGAAATATCACAGAGCACTCTATTCTTCTTAACAAGGGAGTATCTTCAGGAAAAACTATTTTATCAAATCCTAACCACGCTGGAGTTTTATCGGAACCTACCTGGAGTCAGAGAAATACCCAACTTCAGCCAGTTCTGATCTTCCATCCATGGGAAGGAAAGTATCCAACTTTAGCCACCGACAGCCATCCTGTCCCACCAAAGGGAGTTTGTGGGTGTGGATAGCGAAGCACTGATGAAGCTCACAATCTAGTGTCCAGGGACAGAAGCACATCAAAAGATTAAAGCTAATCATTGGATAATAAAATGTCTCTCTCCCCCTCATACCTTACTTTTATGTTATGAAAGACCTATTTACCTCAGTTCCTTTTACCTAGTAAGCTAACTCTACCTTTCAACAGCAAAATGTTACTTAGAATACTAGAAGGCAAAAAATGACAATTTAAAGAATTTGAGCAAGCATCAGAACTAATCAGATAAATAAGAATGCTTTAATTAACAGATCAGGAATTAAAAAAACAACTATGATTAATATACTAAGGACTTTAGTGGAAAAATTAGACAATATGCAAGAACAGATGGATAATGTAGGCAGAGAGATGGGAATTATAAGAAATATTCAAAAAAGAAGACTAGAGAGTAAACATACTGTAACAGAAATAAAGAATACCTTAGATGGGCTTTGTTGGAGATTGGACATGGCTGAGGAAATAATCTTTGAGTTTGACTATATATGGTAATGGATTCTTCTGAAACTGAAAAGCAAAGAGAAAAAAGAAGAAAAAATCCAAAAAGAATGTTCAAAAACATTGGGACAACTACAAATGGTATATCATATGTGCACAGAAATAGAAGAAAGAGACAGGTACTGAAGAAGTATATAATGCAATAAAGATTGAAAATTTCCCTAAATTAATGTCAGACAGCAAATCACATATCCATGAAGCTCAGAGAACATCAAGCAGGAAAATACCAAAAAAATCTACACCTGCACAAATCATTTTCAAACTTTAGGTGTCACATTCCTTGGTTTTACCCAAAGTAGTTGAAAATACATGTCCACACAAAGACCTGCATGTGGATATGTATAGCAGATCTATTAATTGTTACCAAAACTAGAGCAAACAAGATATCTTTCAGTAAGTGAATGGGCAAATAAATCGTGGTACGTATAGGCAATGGATTTGGGTTTCAGGAGAGATTTCTGAGCTGGAAAGCTATGTTTACAAATTATCAGCATTGTTTTGGATGTAATCAACAAAATAGTGAGTGAAGTAGAAAAGGAAA